CCTCATACATACATACATACATACATACATACACACACACACACACACACACACACACACAACCGTGCAATCCATACAGGGTACATCAAATAATTACATCCCATACTCAATGGGGACAAAACCCTGAAAGAAATCTTTCCTGATCCCACTCATCTGCCTTCAAACACCTCCAAAACCTCTCCAAGCTCATCATCAGAAGCAAGCTCCCCACGGACCAAGACACACAAACTAAAAGCAACACCAGATCCTGCCAGAACAGATGCAAAACCTCTAGACATATCTCCAATGCTACAATGGTCAGCACCCCCCTCACACCACATTTTTCATGATCCATGGGTCCTACACATGCCTATCACAACATATGGCATACCTCATCCAATTCACTAAATGCCCCAACAACAAGATGGATGAAACCAAACAATCATGTCCTCAAATGAACTCTCAAAAAATAATAAAAGACAAAAACACCAAATCACTTTTCACAAAGCGATCACAAAATATCTGACCTCACAGTGCTCATCCTCAAAGAAAACCCGCACAACACTTTCAAAAGATGAACCCAGGAGCTTACATTCATAGCTTTGGCTAGATAATAAAAATCATGGACAGACCAGACACTGGATTTATGGTTTGTTACCAAAATCTGTAATCCATTTAGTGCCCCCGCCCCCTTTTCTCTTCCCCATTTTCCCACTATGGCTGGAAAGATGTTAACAGGCCATTTCACTTTGAATGGTCTCTTGAAATGTGTGTTAACTACTTATGCCAAACAATCAGTTCCATCTTGCATTTATCTGTGACACCCACAGAGAAGATTTCTCAGACTCGAATAAGAGCTCTGTAAGCTCGAAAGCTTGTCTCTCAACAAGAGAAGTTGGGCCAATAAAAATTACTGCCTCACCCATCTTGTCTCTCTAATCTCCTTGGACCAACATGGCTACAACACTGCATACAACATGGCTGAAGGAATCTTGTAAATATTCTGAAGATCAAGTACATCATTCTATCTAGGTATGTCTAAAAAGCCTATCACCATAATATCTCGGCAATCTGCAAAGATTGAGAAAAAAAATCACTCTATATATATATATGGACCATCTTTGCTCCTTCTTTGGCAAGATTGAGTTTCTAGGAATCATGCCGTGTAAGATGTAGGAAGGTGGGAGACATCACCTGTAGTCTTTTGTAGGGAGAGGGAAAAGCTGATCTACAAAGAGGTCAGCCTTACATTGAAAAGTAAAAGGTGAGATGTGCATATCCTGATCTCCAGAAGCAAGAAGTTCAACAGCCCAGGGCATTTCACCAAACATCCTGCCTCTGACACCTAGCCTCATCCTGGACTCCGTCAGTCATCGCATTCCTATTGGCTGAAGTGTTCTCAGTTGGCTACACAGAGGGTAAGATATATGCATCCGAAGAAGTGGGCTGTAGTCCACGAAAGCTTATGCTCTAATAAATCTGTTAGTCTCTAAGGTGCCACAAGTACTCCTGTTCTTTTTACAGAGGGTAAGGTTATCAGTGGCTGGGTCACAATTCAAGGGTTTTTAGTTATTGGTATTTCACTCATTCTCCCCTCGCCACACATGCTACCTTTCATATGAGTATAAAGCTTTTTGTACTGTTATCTACTTCAGAAATCTAATCTGAGAAATTTACTTTAAGGGCTCTACTCTAGTAACACTAGTACACACACACACACACACACACCCCTTCAGAGAATCTCTAACTGCTTTACAAACATTATGGCCATGTCTACACTATGATGCTACAGCCACATATCTATGGCACTGTAGTTAGGCCGCTGTAACCTCATAATATAGACGCAGACTACAGCAACAGAAGGGATTTTTCACCTCATTGTAGGAAAGATAGCAAGGTGGAAGGGAGCTTTCTTCTCTTTACCTAGCTGTGGGTATGTCTACACTGCCCACAGTGTTACAGTGTGGCCGCGACAGCGCTGTGACAGGGGCAGTGTAGTCACGCTTTATCACCGGGGGAGAGCTCTCCCGTTGATAAAAAATAACCACCCCGAATGAAGGGTGGTAGTTTTTATCACCGGGAGTGTGGCTCCCGGCGATAAAGCACTGTCTATACTGGCGCTTTTCAGCACTAAAACTTTTGTTGCTCGGGGGGGGGGGGTGTTTTCACACCCCTGAACGACTGAAGTTTTAGTCCTGAAAGTGGCAGTGTAGACACAGCCTGTGTCTACACAAGGGGCTAGATCAGCATAGCTATGGCGCTCCGGGTGTGGATTTTTCACAGCACTGAGCGCTGTATCAGTGTCGACTACCTAAGTTTTAAATACAGACCAGGCCTAAGCCACATCAAACAGAAGTGAAGTATTATTAACCCAATTACAGATGGGGAACTGGAAGCAGAGTGGTTACAGGACTTGTTCAATATCACACAGGAAGTCAGTGGCACAGTATGAAACAGCACTCAGGAATATAGATTCCCATTGAGCTACCTAATGGCTGTTGCAGGGCACCTGCCCTATACCATGTGAAATGCATTCCAAAAGCTGTCACAAATCTTACTGCAAGTTTGGGGAAAAAATTAAATTGAACACACTCCGTACTTAGTCATTAACACACAAATACACTAACCGAGCATGCCAAAGGATAAAGAACGGGTAGTTAATTACCATTTCTATTTAGTCTAAGCTTAGAGCCTAGGTAACAAGGATGAAAACCTACAAAGCAAAGTCACTAGCAACAATGACACTTTAGAATGTCAGAGGGCAAGCAGCTTGTTCAATTTAATGTATTACACTATTACCTGTGCCTAAGGACACAATGCTATATGCTCCCCCAATCTACTGCCAGGTAGCCCCTGGAAGGAAAAACTAAGTGGGCAGATGACTGTACTTGACCTACTCCCACACACAAAACCAATATTTATATTTATGCCTCAGGGAAATACAAACCCTGAATCACTCTGTAATCAATCAACAATTAAACTAGGGAAGCTACAGCAAAACACTGAGGTTTCTCATGGGTGCAAGGGAGAAACTCCATCGGGAGAGAAGCTTACAGTCATTGCTTACATGTCTATTGAAGAACAAATGCAGTAAATTAAGCCTGTTGGGAGCAAAAATCTAAAGCTTGAAATCTTAACAGAAGTTGGAGGAAGCTGATGTCCAATATTCTGAAATGCATCCAGCCTCAAGCATTATCCAGAGGGAGCTTCAGACATAGGCTGGATAGGCAACCACCTACAGTATCAATTCTGAGAGCATTTCTACCACAAGCAGGCACATGGCCAGAAGTTACCAGTGCTTTCAAACTATCCCAAGAACACAGGCTGTGGCAACGCAGGGCCAGCCAGAAGACTCTGTCCTTCAGGACTCCACCAGGAGCACTAGGCTGCAGGAAGAAGCTAGCAACCTAGGGGCATGTCTACACTGCAATTAAAAACTCACAGATGGCCTATACCAGCTGACTTGGGTTAAGGGGCTGTTAATTGCAGTGTAGACATTTGGGCTGGAGCTGGAGCCCAGGCTCTAGCACTCCGTGTGGTGGGAGAGTGCCAGAGGACTGGCTGAACGTCTACTCGGCAATTAAGTATCAGGGGGTAGCCGTGTTAGTCTGTATCTACAAAAACAACAAGGAGTCTGGTGGCACCTTAAAGACTAACAGATTTATTTGGGCATAAGCTTTCGTGGGTAAAACCCTCACTTCTTCAGATGCATAGAGTCAATACTCGGCAATTAAACAGCACTTTAGCCCAAACCCAAGTCAGCTGGCATGGACCAGCCGTGGATGTCTAATTGCAGTGTAGACATACCCTACAGGAGACAAGCTCCTCACTCCAGCATGGAAGTGAGACAGCAGAAGAGACAGGGGATGGACGCAGGGATGTCATGTGATAGACACCCTCTTGTCTTTGGGAAAGGGACACCAAAAATAATTATTTGCCTAGTTCATTAACACATCACTAGCTGGACTATTACACCATTGGTTGGAATATATGCCTGCCAAAAGGCCACTGATGAGTAAGATACACGGCCACAGCAGAATGTACTCAGACATCAAAATATTCAGATTTTCACTCAAACAAATCTGCTTGTGGATTGAAGTTCTACCCTGATATGGCAGCTATGCCTTCCCTCAGACATGATATACTTACAATTTATTTTAGTCTTGACAATAAATGAGCCTATTTGATTTGGGTCTTGCCTGCCTTTGAAGCCATTTCGTTCCCTAAACACCCTTCTCTGTGGCTGTGTCAACCCAGATTTGCACTCTGGGGGAGGGGAGGGAGGTAGGGTATTCTATGGGGTAAAGTCCCAGGGCTCTGGAATCTGCTTCTGTTGTTGGTTGGTCAGAGGACACATTCGTTCACCTCTAAGGCATGCTACAAGACCTTTTGTTGTGCAGATGATGCAAGTGAGCCCAGCCCTTTTTGTGAGCGTGGGTTATCGTGGCAATTCCTTTCTGTCAGGTATTCTGAAGTAGTGTAAACGGGTACAGAGATTAGTGCCAGGAGCGCAGATTTATAAATCAAACACATCCACGCAGTTTAGATAGAGAACCAATTGCAGCCCACCTCCAGAGGGGATTTCCGCCCCCAAAGGACCAGCAAGCGCCTACCTGCTGGGGCAACTTCCCATCACCTCTCACCCGGCCTCCCTCAAGAGGAGCGGCAGGCCCCGGGGAGAGCTCCCCGGCCCCATCGCGGGGGAGCCAGGATTTCTCCCCACAGTTGCACGAAGCTCAGCGCGCCCCTGGCTGACCCCAGGGGCGGCCTCAAGCCCGCCCCCGGCCCGGAGTCCCACTCCGCGGGGCCAGCCCCCTTCGCCACGATCCCCCCCCGCCCCCGGCGGAGCCCGGAGCCCCTGGCTCACAGGCCCAGGGCGGGGCCTCGGGCTGGCAGGCAGGTGAGGGCCCCGCAGGACCGTGGCGGCCCAGCACCGTGACCCCCCCCCCCGGCCCTTCACCCACTGACCGGGGGGGTGTCGGTCCTTTGTGCCGCCCCCGCCGGCTCGGCCCCATATTCACCTGAGCGGCGCTGGCTGGACCGGCCAGGCCCGGAGGAGGCCGCAGGCTGTAGTGTCCCCTGCAACCGGCTCTTGGGCCACGGGCTCCTCCGCTAGCGCCGCCGCCGCCTCTCCTTCCCGGATACCTCCGGGAGGGGGCGGGGCTCACCGGATATTCAAATAAAAGGGCGTGGCCACGCCGCTCCTTGAGCCCCGTCCGCCCCATGTGCTCATGAATAATTCACCCGGGCACCTCCCTCCCCGAGCCAATCAGGAGGCAGCAAGCCCGGCTCATGAATACCGCCTCAGGGCAGCCGCCCTGTTCAAATGGAGTTGACTGTTAATACATCAGTGAATATTAACAAGCTAATTGATATTGATACGGGGTGAATGCTAATAAGCTCATCAATACTAATGAGACGTGGCCCCGCCCACCCCGCTGTACTTTGGCTTACCTGCCGGCCGCAGCACGCCGCCAGCCTCGCCCCGTTTCCATCCGCGCCCACGGAAGCAAATAGTTACTAGGCTGCACCCCGTCCAGCACGAGCACGGACAGGGAAAAGCCCAGCACCCAGGGCCGGACCCTGGTCCCTGAGCCCTAGGGTGACTGCATAGCTAGTGTGAAAAATCAGGACAGGGTGGGGAGTAATAGGCATCTATATAAGGCAGCGCCCCAAATATCAGGACTGTCCCTATAAAATTGGGACATCTGTCACCCTAACGGGCCCCCTCCAGTCTCACACCAGTATAACTGCCCTAGTGTAACTCAAGTATCAAAGGAGTAGCCATGTTAGTCTGGATCTGTAAAAGCAGCAAAGAGTCCTGTGGCACCGTATAGACTTACAGACGTTTTGGAGCATGAGCTTTCGTGGGTGAATACCCACTTCTTCGGATGCATGTAACTCCTAATTCACACTGGTTTGAGATCAGAGCCAGGCCCTAAAGCAGGGGGTTACATGGCACAGGACAACTCAGCCCTAACTGCATGGTGCTACACACGTCTGCTAGGGTAAGGAAAGGTGCCAGGCAGAGTGTGGTCAACTTGGCATCTAACTAGTCTCCAAAAAGGAGGTAAAGGTAATTTCTGGTAATACACCAGCCCCTTCGCCCCCACCAGCCTTACTGCTTTCCCAGGCACATCTTTCTATTTAAAAAAAATATATATTTTTATATTTATTTTAATATATATTAAATATATTTTAATAATATTTTTATCTTACCCGCACCAACCACAAGGGAAATTAACTATACCGGGTAGATTGTGAGAAGGGGATGTACGCAAAAGGGGCTATCAAATGCAGCCAGCAAACTGCAACATCTCTTTGTAACAGTGATCTCAGGTGTTACTTTTGGATAGAGCACGTCAGACAAAAGGGATTTTTAACAATGTCCCTTCCCATCCACAAGGACAGTCAATTTATGGGGCACACGGTTGCACATCCCCACTTCACAATAAGGCATATGTTTAGGCTGACCAGAGAGCAAGTGTGAAAAATCTGGAAGGGGGTGGGAGTAATAGGTGCCTCTGTGAGAAAAAGACCCCAAAATCGGTCCCTATAAAATTGGGACATCTGGTCACCCTACATATGTTCAAATCTATCCTGCATAAAAGATTCTTGCATTGTCCATAGGTGGAGAAAGCTGATTGGCTGATGATTAAGTAATGATTTATAATTATGCCTGTGATGAGTCAGAGACTTGGAGGTAGCTAGGCCACAGAGGAGACCTGAAGGAGGCAAAAGAAATAAAAGGGATTGAGAAATTTAGTTTCCACAGAATGATGGAGCTGAATGCACCATTCTTCTACGGGATTCTGTCCTTTTCATCTTGTTGTTTACAGACAGCTCCAGTAGTATGAGGACTGATGTGTTAGCATGAAGAGTGAAGCTAGGCAGGGTCATTTCCTGTGTCTATCATTCACTTTTTTTGTTGTTTTGTTTTTGTAAACCTTTAGAGAAAGTTGGACACACTCTAGTCAGCACCCTTGGAAAGATCACATGGCTAGAAGCACCAGGATTACTAGAAACATCAAGGTATGTGGCTTCATCACAATTTTGCTGAAGAGAACCCATGTCCTAATGTGAGGGGACATTAACTGGTCCAAAATACACGCTATCCTGCCACAATGCTGCAGAATGGCAGTCCAATGCCCAGTCATAACCTTTTTAGGTTGCAATGGTATGATGCTGCAACAGGCATTGACCCTATGGGACAAATTCCACAAAGTGGCCACTTTTCAGCTGTATTTCAAAAGAGATTATAATTAATATGCCCCTTTCTAGCCCCCTGCTGCAATGTCAGATTGTTCAGGGGCAGGAAGAGAGTCTGGATATCCATCTGCTTTGTGCTCCAATTCTCATACAGGCATCCAAAGCAGCTGAGCAATACAGCTAGTTTCTCAATCCTCCCCAAAGTGGTTATTCGATTGTACTGGTTTTGGGCTGAGTCAGAGAGTCTTGTCTACCCCAGCGAAACTCATCCCATAGCTCTTGTGGAGTCCATCAAATTTTGCCTTGGAAAGGAAAAGTAAGAAAGTGCAACTTTGAAGTCAATGGGAGTTGGGTCTGCTTAACTCCAGGGATAAATTTGGAGCTCTTTTTTGCTCTATCTGAGAACAGGCAGATCACAGAAGCTCTCCCGACACTGCCTGAAACATGCAAGAATGCTGAATGAGCAGAATGGAGCTGCCACCGACCTTGTCCAGCCCTTCACATCCCCCAAGCAGGCAGAGGCACCCTTATTTCCTTCTAGTGGCTAGGAAGGTGCATGGGGGGTACAAGAGAGAAAGAGGGTAAATATTAGTTCAGAACCCCAGCTGGAGCAAATCAGCATCTTCTCTACTGAAGTCAGTGCAGCTATGTCCACTTACACCAGCTGATGATTTGGGCCAACTTGTCAACTAATCAGAGAGATACACAAAGCAATCAGGGCAAGAGCCTCTGCCATCGCACTGTGGCACGTTTGGCACTACCCAAGGAAGAGGTGTCACGCTTACAGCAGCACAGCATTAGGATTCCATGCCCCAAGGACCGTGCATGGACTCACAGGGACTCTGGCTCTGTCTGACTGCATTCAGTGACAGCGCAGTTCCACAGGCTGCCCTCTCACAGGACAAGGCACTACTGATCCATTTTCTCAGAAACACTAATAAATAAATACCCACACTCAGGGGCTTGCATTGTTGGAAAAGGCTTTTTTATTGCTTTAGCCTTCGACCCAAAAAACCCCCACCCAAACATTCTGTATCAAATAAAATGCATCTAAAACATTTGCTGTAACATTTCTTAAGAAAGCTGCACCCTGAGCACAATAGTGTTAGGAGTCCCTTTTTAGCCACAGACCAAGACTTTCTGGCACTAGTCACATTGGCATTTTTGCATAGAAGTTAAAGAAAGTTTGGTATCAGAAGATTCAGGGGGAGGGTTCCCATGCTGACGACAGTTGGAAGGCAATTGGGTGCTACCGTCAATGGTATAGGACAGTGATCCCCAACCTGGCACACTAGACCCACAGAACTACCAGGTTCAGCTCATGGGGAATTTGCAAGTTTAATCAGAGCTCCTCTCACTTGCAAGAGAGAGTGAGAAACATGTACCTGCATCCAGGAGAAAGGGCGTCAAATGGAAACAGGGGGTCACACTATTGTGATGGTGAGATGTCTTGACGCTGTGTGCTGTAGTTTTAATAGGGGATGACGCCATGTTGCAATGACACATCTCAACATAAACACCATAATACAAAGTTAGCATGGTCCTCTGGAGTGACTTCATGGCTCTCTGTGACTCCACTGGCTTACAAAGCAGCTCTATAAGGTTGAGGATCACTGGCAAGGAGCATTCGCCCAGGACTACGATCTCCTGCTGGCATACAAATACCAAGGCAAAGCCAGCATCATCATTTCTGTAACAGACTTCTGTTGCCTTGCCTTTATTTCTATCACACCAATTTCCTTGCTAAGGATTTTATTAGATGGGTGCTGGTGCAGTAGAGTAACAGAGGCTTGCTATACCATTGACTGACCTGGTTAGCTTATGAGTCTGATTGATCGACAGCAGTGGTTCTTAAACCATTCATATGTTGTATTCAGACTGGCCTAGCCCAGTGGTTCTCAGAATACCATGTGTGAATCTCCAGTGAAGTTTGTTCTAAAGGCCCACAAGGACTGAGAAAATGTCATGGGGAAGTGGTCCATAGGACGATAAGAGCTGGAGAACCAGTGGCTTAAAGAACAAAGCAGTGCACGCTCCAGCTAAAGCATAGAACATCATGCTTGTTTGTTTGAAGTGTATCTTGCTTTTACAAATGAGCTAGTTCCTAGCTGGCTGAGGCCTGGAGCAGTGGATAAGATGGTTATCCCTCCTGCATGCAGACTGGTTATCAGAGATTCTATTTGATATAATAGTCCATGAATCAGGAAATTAAGTCTTGAGTAAAGTCCCTCACCCTTTGCCCCAAAGCCATTTCTCCAAGGGATGGTAACTTCAGTTATAAATATCAACAGGCAGCTTGAACTCCTTGAAAGAGTAGAAAGCAATGTCTCCATTGTCCACCAGTGCAAAGACCACTGGGACATCCTCACTCTGATAGGCAAGCTGCTTCACTGCCCGCAGGGATGGGATCTGCTCGTCAAATCTGCAAAAGGAAGAAAGCCGGTCTTTCTCAAACCATAGGAATATTTACAAGGCCAGCCACCTGGTGAGTGTTGCTTATCAGAGACACCCACAGAGCAGCAAAAATACACTCCAAGACTCGGAAAAGGGCTTCCCTCATATTTAATATGAACATAAGAACAGCCATACTGGGTCGGATCAATGGTTCATCTAGCCCAGTATCCTGTTTTCAAACAGCGGCAGTGCCAGATGCTTCAGAGGGAGTGAACAGAACAGGGCAATTTATCAAGTGATCCATTCCTTGTTGTCGTTCCAGCTATTGATAGTCAGAAGTTTAGGGAAGCACATAATGTGGGGTTGCGTCCATGATCATCTTGGCTAATAGCCATTAATGGACCTATCCTCCATGAACTTATTTAATTCCTTTTTGAACCCAGTTATTCTTTGGCCATCCGTTGGCACTGAGTTCCACAGGTTGACTATGCGTTACCTGAAGAAGTACTTACATTGTTTTAAACCTGCTGCCTATTAATTTCATTGTGTGACCCCTAGTTCTTGTTACGTGAAGGGGA